TGTAAAAATTCATATAGAAAATATTTAACAAATATATTAAAATTGCACAAAAACTTGAAAATGTTGGAATGTGTACACAAATTAATATAATATTTATTTTATAGTAAATAAATTTAGCCTTGCTTTTGGTCAATCCTACTGGATTCCGTTTAATTAAATTTGGGTTTGATTCTCCTTGGAATTATCTCAAAATATTTTTCAATGCAATTCATTTTTAATTTTCTTCTTAACTTTTCAAATCCATCTTCCTGCAATTTCAACAATTATCATCCAATTAGTAGACTCTCACCTATTCCTTCTTTCTTTCTCTTTTTGTTTGATCAACCTCTGGAGAACTCAGTATCACAAATCCATGTAGCGGAAACACTTCTAAAGAAGGCCAATGTTGTTTCATCTGCAGTTAAGGTGATAGGAATATAAAAGGCATTGTGTTTATCTTCAAAAGGGACAAACCATCAATGGAGTGACCCTTACCAACTTATTGAGACAGTTACAAAGAGTTATAAAGACCAAATGGCCAGGAAAACTGATGAAAGGAGTTTTGCTTCATCAGGATAATGGTCCAGCATACAAGTCCATGGTTTCAATGAGTGCTGTGCATAACTGGCTTTGAACTGGTTGATCACCACCCACTATTCTCCTGATTTGACTCTCATCTGTTCTCCAACATGAAAAAAAAACAAAAAACACACTTGGCTGAGAACAAGTATCACAGTGATGATGACGTCATATCTGCTGTTGATGACTTTTTGGACCAACAGGTCTTCTTCAGATGTCAGTTTACCTGGAATGTTATTAATAAGAAGAGTTGAAATTAATGTATGCAAGATTTTACAGCTCTAGCAACACTTCTTCATAGTCAGCCTATGAACTTTTCAGCTCACCCTTATATTATCTTTTACATAAATATTAATTTATTAAAATTCAATAATTAGATGAATTCTGGAAGGGTAAAAAAACAACAAACAATACACTTTTTTATGACACCCCTCTACCCACAGCAATTTCATGGTGACAACATTTACACAAACAACATTTTTAAATGCAAAACTCTCAGATTCTGCTTAAAATATAGAAATAATATTAATATCAGAACTTTTTTATATTCTTTCTAATTCTGAGCACAGAAAAAAATGTTAACCATAAAATTAAAGATTTACATGTTTCATAGGTGTTTTTTTTTTTAAACACCAGTGTCAAATTTCTATAAGGAAATTTGGAGATATATCTAATATAAAGTGTATGAAATTTGTATGCAACTATTACTAATAAAAAACAAATAACACATAATTTTGCTTTTGTATTTTTTATTTGGTTAAAAAAGAAAATCTGAAACATTATTTTAAATAATTTAGTTCAAATGCAAAAAATCTTAAAAAATTTTTTAAAGAAATAAACAGGAATTATTTTATCATAAAATTTCAATAATTAACAAAATCAAATTAGAAGTTTTGAATCTCATGAATTTATTTATAGGAAAGACTATTAAAAAAATCTTATATTAATGGGTTCATTTTTAACTAAACAATCATGTTCCCTGAAATACGAGATCTGTTTTCTTTGGTTAAGTCAGAGAAAGTTTAAATAAAAAAATCTATTTATTTATGGTCCAAATTATGACCAAGGCACAGTATATGCATGCTAGGAGTAGTAGATATTCTTTTCACACACATTTATTGAAAAAATTTGAAAGCACTGGTTTAGCATTTAACTGAAACATTTATTCTGAAAATTTGATAAAATAACACAATAACTCTGTATTAATTCATTAAATAATGTATTACAAATAAAATTTGATTAAAAAAAAATATGAAAAAAATATTAGCTTCCATTTTTGAATAAAAGCTATTTTAAATTTTTTTATAAATTTAATAAACATTTTTTATCAGTATCCCTCTGTATAATCTCATGCAAAATAAAATAACTTATAATACTAAAAAAAACTCTTTAAATACAATTGTTCCAAAATTAGTTCACCTGTAAATTCATAAATTTTAAATTTCAAATGTTTTATATTATCTTTATAATTTTGCTGATAAATTATGAAATATTATTTTTGATTTATAAATAAGAATTGGAAATGTTTTAATATATTTCCAAGTCTACAAATTAAATTTATTGTACGAGGTGGATTGTGTTGAAGAGTTCTCACCTGGAACCACATTAAAAAATCTGACCAAATGACCAAACATCTGAGTTGAAAATTTTTCAGTTCCAACCTTGTATATAACTGTGTGCATAAATTGTTCTTGGTGGAATATTTGCTGAATGTATTACATAATTGTAGAAAATTAATTTTTAACCATATTAACTTTTTATATATACAAACACAGGGTGCAGACCAAGAAGAGATGCCAAAATAAATTGATATTTAGTTAGTCAATCCGATTTTGGGAAATGGGTTGGGCCAGTAACTTTTCAGCACCCCTTATACAAATTTTAAATTTAATCTCTCATAAATGGCACTGAATTTAAAATGTATAGATATTCTTTTTCTATAATTAATTGTTATTTTTATTATTCTAACTGATCAATAAAAACAGATCAGAGATAAAAGATGAGGAAGGTTAACTGATGGCAGTTAGAATAGTAGTCTAAAACTGTTTTCACATGTTTTTATTCTATTTTCTGTTTTCATTTCTGACTATTATGCCATATACATGCAGTTTAAATTGGTGTTCTGGCAGGAGAATTATATAGTTGATATTTTGGTTGTAATAATCATCAGTAATTTGAAACATCTCAAAGTCAACCCTTTATGCTAAAACAAATATATTTTGTCTTGGTACAACATCTTAGAGATTAGCTTTTGTTAGGCTCTGAAATAAGTTATCTTAACAAGTGAATAAAAACTTTGCCAAGTTTAGAAATGGTTGTTTATAGTTTTTTTAAAAGAAATTATGCCAAAAATATGTGTCCAATGTTTAGAACAAATTTTCATCAGAAAAGGCATTTTTAAAAGCTGTGAAAAATTAACATAAATAACATATTTTATGCAAATAATCAATGTAAAAATAGTATTGAATCAAGTGGAAATATTCAATGATCATTACTTGTTTATTAGGATAAAAACTATGCATGTTTTTCCATAGCCTTCTTTCCACTTGAGTTCAAATAAAATAAATCAAATCAATCTGAGTAAATTTTAATTCTTGAGAATCTCAAAAGTACGAATATCACAAAACAAGAAAAAAAAAGAAAAAGAAAAAATTCAAATTTTTTTTATTTTTACTTTTCTCTTTCTATAATTATTTATTTTACTTTTTTTTAGTTTACTTTTTACATGTTCAAAAAAGTAAACATCACTTTTACCTTCATTGGTTAGATATTATTATTAGCTATGCCACAAACATTACATGTACAGTTTTAGAGGACTGAATATTAATTTAAAAAAAAAGAATGAGAGAAATAAAAGTAACTGCACTTAAAAAAAATAGTTTCAAATATTAATAGCAACTGAAGGCTGAATGTCAAAGCAATAACCTATTTTATTCATAAGCTTAAGAGAAAATAATTTTAATTTTTGAGTACATATCTAAAATAATATTTTTTCTTTGTAAACATACATTTGTAAAAATATATTTTAGACAATTAAAATCAATATTTTAAAAAATATTGTATTTTAATTATGATGCTGGTTTTCTTTTAAAAATATAAAAAAGTAGACTTGAATAAATGTTTATAAGAATTTTTTTAGTATTAAAGCATGATAATCACTTACAAAAACATAATTAAAAAATTAGAACAAATAGGGGAAAATAGTTTGTCATAAAAATATTTAAACAATATTGGAATAAAATTAGGTTTTACAATTAATTCATAGCTTGATATTTTAAACTGAAAACATTATATTTAATTACTACTTGAACTTTCAAAATGGATATAAAAAATTTTGGATTTTAAAAATTTTGGTTGGATAAAGTCTTTAATAATAAATAAGGAATGCTGAATTTAAAACTGATATTTAGTGAATTTTATATCAGTGGATACATGAAAGCAGATACATATAGATTGATATAGTTATTGTGAAAAAAGTATAAGGTATATTTTATTAGTGAAATAGCATTCCACTTTGTAAGATAAATTATTTCAACTTTCATATTTAATGATTTGAAAAATGGAAAGTTTTATAAAATGTTCTACAGATTAATTATTAATCCTTTTGTGCTGATAACTGTTCCAACTGATCATTCTCAGATGAATAAGAGAATTTGCTCATAATAGGAGGACATGTGAAAAACATTTCACAATGTATAGCAAAATGTGTTGAACTTAAAAAAAACAAAATTAAGGCATAATCTTAACAGATCATCTTATGATTTTGCATGAAATAATTCTATATAAAAGATAATCTATTAAAATATAAATAAATAAAAGCAAATAAATTGATTAAAAATTAAATATGTAAATAAAACTTGACAAAGAGCAAACTTTAAATTATTTTTTTGTTATTATTTATTGTAAGTGATTGTTTTATATATATATATATATATATATATATATATATATATATATATATATATATATATATATATTGTTATGGCAACTCATCATATTCAACTTAAGCTTAATCAGCAGATAAAGAAAAACACATAAGCAATCATGTAAAATTTATTCTCTGTAATGAGAAGAGCATATTTTTGGAACTACAGAAACGCACAATGACTTAAAAAAAAAAAAAAAAAAAAAAAAAAAAACACTGACATATACATAAGTTACAACTAAATATCTGCTTTAAATATTGACATGTATTTGATGATATTCCATCTAATGCAAATTCTAACAACTTGACTAGCTGAGTATTCTTATCACAAATCTCCTGTTCATAGGATCAAATTGCATCCACATAAAGAAGCCCCTTAAGATAAAACACACATGAGTATAACTTTGAGAGCAAATGTTATGTATGAATTTGTATTTTATTTATATTGGCAGTGACATTGTAACAAAATGCAAAAGAAGAAAAGTATGTTTGAATATGAAATTCCAAATGAACTTCTTTAACCAAGAAGAACTTTCTTCATACGTGCAACTGCAACGTCTTCTTCATCAGTATCTGTGTCACTTGAGCCACAAACAGATGGCTGAGCAGTTGTACATCGAGGAGTACACAAATATTGCAACAGGGGTAATCGATATTTTCCACAAAAGTCAACAAATTTCACATTCTCAAAGCGAGAGGAAAAATAGACACCTACAAAACAAATGGAAAATTCATCATGTTAAATATACATGAAAATTTTTTAGAAGGTACACAGTATGAAATTCTTATTGTAAGTCTATACTGTAAAAATTGCAAAATTGTTGTGTTTAAAATGTTACTTTGGGAAAAGGATTCAGCTGAAATGTTGAGGTGTATGTACAAATTTGAATATTTTCCACAAACATATTATTATAGTTACTTTAAAATTTAGAAAGGCTTACCTTTACATTTGGGATTCACACACCTCTTTGCTGAGTCTAAGTAATTCTGAAGATTTTCTGGAATATCTCCATGTCCATATTTCAGTTTCTCAACTTTGATTGTTCTCCCTGCAAGCTCAAGAAGTGAGGGAGGATCACAGACAAGGTCCTTCACGAAACGTACAACTAAAGGGTTGTTTCGTAGACTAAGTTCAACCAGATCAAGGGATACTATTTCCTGTGGTAATGTGGAAAGCTGATTGTTATGAAGGCTAAGTGAACGAAGTCTTCGTAAATGAATCAGGGACCGAGGTAATGTGTGTAGTTTATTATCACAAAGGGCAAGTGTATTTAATTTACTCAGACATCCAACTTCTGAAGGAATTTCAGTTAACAGATTGCCTCCAAGGTACAACACTTCCAGGCTGTGAAGGAAGAAGGAAAAAAAAAGGGTAATTTTAAACTAAGAAAATATATGAATAAACACAAGGAATATTTGGTAAATTTATGTTAAGTAAATTTGGTGTTAACAATCACAAACATACTTGATATAAAGTCACTAAAAATTATAATTTAATGAAGATATAAAAAAATGGCAAGTCAATGTCAATATTTTCTTTTAGACTAACAATACTTGTTAGCTAAACTCAAATAAAACTGCAAGTAATTTTACCACTAAATTTGATAGAAAAGCATGATTTTCTGAAACATAAGTCTCAATAAGAATGACAGTAAAATGACAAGATTGATGTGAATCAATCTTGTAATTTAAATTGCAATTATTTGCATTCTTTGAAGACAAAATACAAAAAAGTTGAAACAGCTTAGTAGTAACACCTTTCATAAAGGGGAAAGAAAGTCTTATTTTCATGCCTCAAGGGGTATAGATCAACAAGAAAGTGTACAGTAAGGATATCTTGGAAGGTCCACTCAAGCTGTGGTGCAATGCTACTTATGGTGATGAACATTGAACACTTCAACAAGATAGAGCAATGAGCCATACTGCTTGTGTAACACAGCAATGGTGCAGACACATTGTCCTGGCTTTATCACTAAGGAGAAATGACCTGTCTCATCATCAGATATCAACACTTGACTAGTTGTTTATGGGTAGTTTTTAAGAGTAAGGTCTGTTCTACTGCACACCACAATATTGAATGAGATTTTCTGGTGTTATTTAGCAGATTAATATTTTGTGTTAAAAATGTATGCTGATATAACAAATTTTTCAAGAGTTATGAGTTTTTACTTTTGTAACAGTATTTTTAGAGCAAGAATCAAGACTGGTTTGATGCAAACAATATTGAAATCAACAACCTGATTGATGCAAAAAAGAATGCTTGTCTGACTCATGAAATAGACCGAAGATCCAGTCTCAAAAAGAAGCATTTCCAGAAGCTAAATCAGGGGTGTCAAACAAAACTAAGAACATTTAGTGGTAACAAAAACCAATCAAACTTCAGAGCTACGCAGATACATGTGATTTCAGAATTTTTTTTATGCTGGAATTAAACAACTGTATGAGCATCAACTGGATCCTTTCTAGCAGCTGATAATACAAATACCCTGACTGATCCACAAGACATATTCCAACACTGGAAGGAACATTTTTCCACCCTATTAAATAGAAACTCGACCACAGCTGAGGACTCCCTGAGAAATGTTCCAATTCCACCTCATTAGCTATGTAAGAATATGAGGCCTATTTTTCAAGAATTGAAGCAAATCTCCAAGCCCAGACAATATCACTTTTGAACTGATCAAACATGGCAGCTTACCTGTGCAAACCTGCATTTTCACCTTCATTCTGAAGATGTGGTAATCTCAACAAGTTCCAAAAGAAGTGAAAGATGCAGTAATCATAATAACCTTCAAAAAAGGTGACCAAAAACCTGTGTGAACTATAGAGAAATATCATTACTCTCCATCACTGGAAAAAAATCTTTGCCAGGATCCTTCTAAATCAGCTCCAGATCATTGCTGAAAAGATCATTCCAGAAATGGATTTTCTGTGCAAGGCAACTCCAAGAGAAAACTAGAGAACAAAAAAAACCTTTTTGTTGTCTTCTATGACTTAGAAAAGGCCTTTGATAGAATTCCAAGAGCTGCTATGAGGAAAGTTCTTTATCTCCTTGGTTCAAGCAATATATGATATGTCTGGACACGTATTCCACCAAAACATGCATTCAGAAGAATTTCCAATCATGTGCGGTTTAAAAAAAAAAAAAGAAAAAGAAGATGTTATTCTCCTTGTACCTGGCTGCAACACTTCACAAACTTCCTGCAGACAATCCAGGAGTTGATATCAAATATCTATATGATAGAGAACTTTTCAACCTTAATTGACTTCAGTCTAAGCATCTAACACACATGTAAAAAATATCTCAAAACTTCAAAATGCTGATGACAATGCTGACTTTTGTCATTCAAAAAATGAACTCCAACAGTCTGAACAATTTTGCTATAGCCTAACATTGCCTTGGCTTTACGGTAAACATCAAGAAAACCAAGATTCTTGCACAGCCAGCCCCAAATACCATCTTACCAAATTTTGATATTATCATCTGTGATACACCTAGAATAAGTAGAACATTTTCCATATCTAGGCAGCCTTTTATCAAACAAGTGCACCTCAAAAAAGATGTGGAACACAGAATTGGAGTGTGCAGCTCCAATTCTGTGTTCCACATCTTTTTTGAGGTGCATTTGGAAAGTTAATCAAATGCATCTTCAACAACAAAGATCTGAACTTAACAACAAAAGTTATGGTCTATGATGCTGTTGTCATTTCAACTTTACTATATGGTTGTGAAACCTGAACTCTATATTGTTGTAACATCCAAAATTTAGAATGCATTCACCAGCAAAAGCTTCATTCAATCTTGTAGTGAAAGAGATAATCATTTACCCTGGAAAAAGTTTGTGTTCTGTGTGCGATCTGCCGAAGAAAAATTACAAAAATCTACTTCAATGACTAGAATCTATGCTAATGTTCTCCTCTTCCCTGAATGGTGTGACCAATCAGAAAAATCTCTCGAACCAAAGCTGTTGTTTTTTGCTTATAAAGGCAGAAGATTTGAGCTGGGGAGCTGAACACACATATTTGCTCGTGAGAAGTGAAGGTTGGACGTGTGACCCCATTTTGTTGTTTCTTCTTTGCTTGTTGGACTGTTACGACAGGCTATCGTTTGAACTGCGATTTGGCTACAAGTGTTGCGGTCGAGAAACAGAAGAAATCTATTGCAGTTGCTACTATAAGTTGGCAGTCTTTTCTTTTCTTTACTACAACAAATCTTGAACATCAAATGGAATTACTATGTGACCAACACCAAAGTCCTGGAAAAACTGATCATTAAACATAGGCTTCGAAATCAGGACATGTAGCAAAGATGGCAGAGTGAAGGTTTCCATGTCAAGTCTTATTCAGTGACCTAGCTTCAGGGAAAAGACCACTGGGTTGTCCTCTTCAAAGATACAAGGACCAACTTAAAACAACACTGAAAGCCACTGGACTTGAACCTAAATTGTTTGAAAGACAAGCACAAGACTGTACCAACTGCGGATGTTTTATCACCATCAGAACCAGAAACTTTGAAACCACCAGAAGAGAAAAGGAAGAAGTCAAATGATAAGAGAGAAAGGCTCAACAAAATTGACCTCGCCCTCCACCAACATTACTATGCAGTCAATGCCATCAGCTCTTCTATGCAAGAATTGGTCTACTTAGTCATCAAACACCATCATAAAGTAAGCAATCAGAAAAGAAGAAATTAAATTCTTGGATATGAGATAAACCCACTGACTATATATATATATATATATATATATATATATATATAAGCCTAAGGAAAAAATAATATAGAAACACATGTTTGTAAATTTTGAAGAACTATAAAATATAGCCATTTTGTTTTTACTAGAATGTAACAATTTCATTTTAACCTCCAAAATAGGACCTAATCCCTAGTTACATTTTTTGGAAAAGACAATATAAATAAATTTAATTTAATCTCCAAATCCAGAGAATTACAGAAAATATTGCCAGCCTTGTATGTAGATGAAATGAAACAAAAACTGGACATTTTTTTAAAATTTTTTTTATGGACAAACATGAGTGTGAAATTTAAAGAACAAAGATTATGTCTGGTGTTGTATTGTGTTGTTCTATGACACGTGATCAGTAATCAACTTCTGGCTGTCTCTTCTATATAACATATCCAAATATGTACAATCCTATTTACCAATCCACTGGTTAAAAAAATGGTTAATGCCTTTGTTTGTTCTTGAACTTCTACAAATTCTTTCCTCCTCTACTCCTTGAGGTTTAGGTCCTATTCTTTTTAATAGAGATCTTGGTATTATCTCATCTTCCATGTCTGAATTGCACCTGCTATCATCTATAGGTTTATCTTCTATTGCATTATCCTGATCTGAAGAACTCATCTTTTCTTCAATGTCAAGATCTTTATCACATCTTCCGTTTTAATTCTGTGTCTTAATTGGCCAAAATGAGCCATTAGGCCTTTTCCATTCTAGATATAATGGCCATATTATATCCCTTTTGTATGATGAAATTAGCTCTCTTGGGATTTGCTACTTTGTCTTATACACATCTTTTCATTTGTTGAATAAGACATTGTTAATGGAGATCTTATTTGTTTTTCCATTAATGCAGATGGGCTGTCTGCATGTGGAATCATCCTATAAGTTAGCAGTAATCTTGGTAAGTAACTATCTAGTATCTCTACTGAGGGAAAATGCTTTTCTTCACATTTTTACTGTCTGCACCATTCTTTCTGCAATCCCATTAGATTGTGGGTGATATGGTTGTATTTTGTAAGGGAAGAAGCCAATCCACCTCAATCAATTATATAGATCTTCATCTCAAAATTCTGATGTGTTGTCTGAAACTAAAGTTTTCTAGAAAATACCACTCTTAGTATTTATCTTATTGTAGTCATTTTTCTATCTTAACAACTTCAGGCCATCCCAAAAAGGAGTCTACTAAAATTATAAATAGTCCCATGTCATTAATGTGTTCATGGTCTATATAAACACAAGACCATGTTTCTGTTTCTTTAGGTCAAGGTATAGTCTTTATTTCTGCACATTTTGGACACTTGTGTATATATATCTTTCATTATTGTGGAAATAACCTGGCCACCATGCCTCCCACTTTAATCTCCTCTGCATATCCATTATCCCACAATGCACATCATCATGTACACCTTTTAAAACATCTCTTCTTATTGTTTCTGATGGTACTATCACATCTCCATTGCACATAGCAGTTTTCCATCATTAATTTATGCCTTATTTCTTTATAAGGTCTTTCAGCTTTGGAACAGTTATTCTTCTTATTCTTTCAATAATCTTGCTTTGTATTGGATATTGTAGAGTTTCCAATACCAATTTTTGTAGAGAT